GCTACAAATCAAGATGAGATTTGGGTGGGGATACAGCCAAACCATAGCAATGCCTACTCCTGCTGCATGTTAGTCAGCCCTGAGGAAACACCTGGGCCTCATTCAGAATTCCCTCTGACTAGTTGACAGAAAACAAACAAAAAGAAAGCACTCAAGTCTGCCTTACAAATGCATCCTGGCACCATACAAAATTAGATTGTTAGGGCTCCGGTTTCACCATTTTGAGTGTTCTGGAAGGATAATGGGAATGGGAACACTTTCAAGTGGGAAGAACTTCAATTACCATATTCCTTATCTATTGTGTTATCTAGAGTAAATTATGCTTACTTTCAAGGAGGGAGGTAGGATTGCTGATGTATGATTGAAGATGAGGAGGAGTATGTCTATTATTCAGAGAATCTTGCTGGTTCCCTCCTAGTCTGCCCAAATCCAGTAGAAGGAGTGAAGGAAATAATTCAGTATCTTATAAAGGCAGGTTCAAGAATGCAAATCTCTCAGGAATAAATTTCAAGTGACCTGTCAGCTCAAGAAACTTTCCAATAAAGGCATTGGCTGAAAGCAAAGGAAATACAAAATGAGTAGTTAAAAAAGAAATTATTGTGCATCAACATGACCTCATGAAAAGCTGTAAAAATGAGGACTATAATGAGGACCCCTATTTTTTTCATTTCTCTGTTATGTTCTTATTTTTATATGATTCCTTTTATTTTCCACTCTCCCTTCTACCTGTGATTTTATACAGGATGTGTAGGTAATATCTCAGGGCAGAGATTAGAGGATACCAAAATGCTGCTCAGTTATAAACTAAAAAGAGAATAAACACAAAGCAGAAATTAATGCAAGAACTGATGAGACTGTGTCATCACTTTCAAAGAGAAGGTTTGTTTTTGTTTGTACAAGGAATAGAGGCATTATGTTAGGCAGTAGCACTTTGAAGTTATGATGAATTTATTTGGAACTTTAAATATCAGAAGATGGAGAACGATGAATGTAACAAAGTCCAAAGAATGTAGTGGGGTATAGATGATACATTGGCTCACTCAATACCAATTCTAGCCCTCCCTGAGCTTTCCTTCCTATATAACAGTGACTAGAGATGGAATTTGCACACTATCATACCAAAGGAGCATAATAATTATTTTAACAGATGCAAACAGTATCATCCTGTAAAAGGATGTATTCATGATTGTGCACAAGCTGTTAGCCAACAAGAAATAGAAGTTAACTTCCTTAACTCAATAAAGGAATTAACCAACCACAGCCTCAAAAAATCATACCTCTTGTTGAAATATAAATGCATCCCTATTATCATATATGCTATTCCAAACTAACACAATATATCAAGAAAAAAATGAGATTTAAATATTTAAAGAAGCAAAAGTATGTCATCATTTTCAAGTGACACATTTGCACACCAAAAAAATAATAGGAATGAAAACAATTAAATACCATTTAACATTTATTAGACCCTTATTATATCAATTTACTGTTTCTCTATATTAAATTACTTAATGAAAATAAATTACTCACAAAAACTACATTTTTACCAAAAAAATAGATTCTTTAGATAAAATGTAATTTTTTAAAGTCTGGAAAGTAGTTAGATGTTTGCATAGCACACACAATAAAACAATGCTCCTGTAAATAATAAAATATTTTTAAAAAGAAAAAATCTAGTTCCCAAAAGAAACAAATGGATAATAAGACTAGGAGTAAACAAATAGATAAAGGATAATACCTATATGAGGAAAATTGGAAAATATCATTGAAAGACGTAAATGGACAAATAGCAAGATACTCCAGGGTCCTAGAAGAAAGAATTCAATGTGATATATATTTTATTTCTCCCCAAGTTTTTATATATTAGTCAGTGCAATCTAAGTCAATATACCAATAAAATTTTTGCCAAAACTTGACAAGCTGATTCTAAAATGCATGTGAAAAAGTATGTGTATAAAAATAACAAGAAATTAAATGACAAAATACTAAATAAAGAAGCAGGACTTATTTTACTATGATGGTAACTAAAACATTTTGTTATTCCACAGAGAGAAACAAATATATCGATGGAGACAACTTTGGAAACAATGAAAACAAAAAATCCAAAAATAAACCTGCACATAAACAAAAACTCCATATATGACAAAGGCAGTGTCATGAATTAAGTCAGATGGAAAAATAAAATAAAATACAATTCTAAATGCATTAAATTAACAAGTACGTAAAACAAGCCAAGTAGTTCAAAACTCAAAAAAAAAAAAAATAGGAGAATACTTTTATGACATTAAGACAGGGAGAAGTTTCTTAAAGATGTAGGAAACTCAAATCACAAAAAATACACTACAAAATTAACATAACCACGTGACAAAGTAGCTATAAACAAGGCCAAAAAGCAATAGACTAGAGAAGATGTTTGAAACATATATAACATGCAATAAGTTCTTTTTCAGAGTATATAAAGAACTCCTATACATAAAAAATTGAAAAATTAGTAAAGCATCAGAACAGGAATTCACTGAAAAGGAAACTCAGATAAATTTTCCAGCTCATTGGCCATAGGACTAGGTGCATATAACTGAGTTCTGGAAAATGGGATATAGGCAGAAGTGATGAATGCCACTTATGGTTCTGGGAAAAGAAGGAAATAAAACGGAGGAAGAGAAGAAAAAATTGTAAGAGGAAGAAGAGGGTGTAGACAAAGAGAAGGAGGAAAAAAAGAAAAAGAAAGAAGTAGAAGCAGCTGCCAACCCCACTCTCTGATCCTCCAGCTAGCTTTCCCTCTGCTAAAGCAAAAGCAAAGAAAATGGACTCATGACGGCAGGGCTATATGATCAAGGAGGGCCACCCTTTCCACACCGCCTTCTTACTTGTTATGCAAGAAATTAATTGTTTAGGGTTTGTTACTGCAGCATAGCCTAACCCTAACCTAATATGATATTCAAACTGATTTAGCCACATTTGCCACATCCCAGCCAATGACAGCTCCATTCCTTGAAATAGTAAAATAAAAGACTTGATGCTATTTCTACCTCCTCTTTTTCTTTAACATCTAACATCCAATCCATTATTGAATCTCATGGTTCTGCTTTCAGAAGACATGCAGAATCTAAGTTAGATAGTCATCTTCTAAGTGGTCATTATCTGTCACTTGTATTATTGTAATTGTTTAAAAATTATTCTCTCTGATTCCTTACTTATTATCCTATAGTCTAATCTCAACCCAGGAACCACAGTGATTCTCTTGAAATGTATGTCAGAATTTCTGGAATGTGATTATGTGGGCAGTGTAGTTGTTTTAAGTGTCCCAAACTTCTCTTGAAAACCAAATAGAGAAGATAGTATAGCTAAGACAATGGGAACAACAGCCCCAAGAATATGGGTATACCTTGGTGACAAAGCAGCCACAGCAACAGGACATGCACATGATCAGCCGCTGTGTTGAGAGGGCATGAAGTGAAAGACAGCTAAGTAGCTTCATAAAAAAACAAAAAGTCAGCTGGGCGCGGTGGCTCAAGCCTGTAATCCTAGCACTTTGGGAGGCCAAGGTGGGTGGATAACCTGAGGTCAAGAGTTTGAGTCCAGCCTGGCCAACATGGTGAAACTTCATCCCTACTAAAAATTTTAAAAATTTAATTTTTTTTTAAATAAAGGTTGGCTGTGGTGGTACGTGCCTGCAGTTCTAGCTACTTGGGGAGGCTTAGGGCAGGAGAATCGCTTGAACCCAGGAGATGGACGTTGCAGTGAGCCAAGATCACACCACTGTACTCCCACCTGGGTGAAAGAGGGAGACTCCATTTCAAAGAAAAAAAAAAAGTCAGTAATAAATATGACCTCTTACCCCCATTGTCCCAAAAAAGAATTTGCTCTGAGAGGAAATCAGGGAAGAAAAATATATATAAGAACAATTAGTGATATTGGAAAAAGTCCTCACAGCCTCAGAGTTGCAGATCAGTGCCAAAATTACACAGATGTGGGGGAAACTAACATGAGTATAGTGGTTCTAGTCTTCAATAAAATCTCACACACTTCCCTCCAGTAAGACAATGCCTCATCCCATTGGAAATAGCAAAACAGAAAAAGGAAGAAACCATGAGAACGAAAAAAGAGAAAGTGAGAGAATGTTTGAGAACTCAGAGAAAGGAAGTCTCAGGAAGAACTTTAAAAGTAAATGCTTTTTAAGCTGTTCTTGCCACCAAAAAAAACAAAAGTATGTGAGATGATGGATTTGTTAATTTGCTTCACTATAGTAACCATTTTACCATCTACATAACATCATGTTGTAATCTTCAAATATACACAATCCAATATTTTTTAAAAAAGAATTCAGCACATATAGGACAATATTTATCATTATTAATGGATAAATAAAAATGGAGCAAAAAGAGTAAATGCAAGACATGATGCTGAGAACACAGCCGTGGAAGACAAGACTGTGGACCTCACAGATGGGTGGCAGGGAAACCTTTCTTAACCAGATATGGCCTAGAGAAACAAAGTGACTCAGAGAGAGGGCATATATCTTTCCTGGTAAAAACAGAGAAAGAGATTCTTAAACTGTGCGACAGAGAAAGCTACCTGGTCTTGTCTTTCTCCTAATAACCCAGAACACTCCATCTTATTTTGTTCCTCATTGAAACATCATGGACAAAACAAAACAAAAAAATACTTTCTAGCACCATTCCAAATTATTACGATAAAAAGTTGAATGAGGCCTTAATAAAATTAAGACAGAGAGAATTCACCAGAAAAATGAGGTCATAAAGCAGATAAAAACTGTAGTATAATATTTAAGTATAAGAGAAGAATGAAAGCTTTGACAAAAACAGCACAAACAGCATTCTTCTAGAAAAAGCTCAGAGCAAGTGAATAATCAGTAAAAAATTAAGAAAAAGAAAATAATATTTCACAAAAGAAGACTAAATTAGAAAAACACAAAAGCAAAGTGATACCATAAAAAGTACAATAAAGGAAATAATAAGAAGAAAGGAAATTGAGAGGAAATGACACGGAATGTTTTTTAATGATTTTAAAAGAAAGGATTTGAGAAATATTTGCATGATAGGCAGAATAATGGCCCCACAAAAGTGTCTGCAGCCTAAACCCTGAAGCCCATGAGAGTTGCTTGTGTGGCAAAGGGACTTTAAGGATGTCCGGATGAACTGATTATTCTTGATCACCCAGGTGATCAATATCATTACCAGGGTACTTAGAGGCAGCAGCTTTAGAGTCAGAAGAGAGGTGACAACAGAAGGAGAGATTCTAGGGATAATACAGACAGCTTCTAGAGGCTGGGAAAGGCATGAAACTAATTCTCCCCCTGGAACTTGCAGAAGGAACACAGCTCTGCCAACCCATTTTAGATTTCTGACTTCCAGAACTGTAAGAAAATAAATTTGTGTTGTTTTAAGCCACTAGACTTGTGATAATTTGTTACAAACAGCAGCCATAGGAAATGAATACAATGTGATAAACATACAATATAGAAAACCTAAGGGCCAACATACATAAAATTGGCGTCTTCAAAGAAGAAACTAAAAATAACAAAAAAGAATAAATATTTAAAATTATAATTGAAAAAATGTTTCCTGAAACAAAATATTAAAAAGCATAGCACACTGTGTGTCAGATTTTGGGGTCCGGGTACAGCCTATGCTGAAGTCTGAGTGGAGTGGGTGGATGAGCAGGAAGACCATTTGGGGGACATAAGCAGGGAAAAGATTATTGTATGCAGCAGCAGCTCTCATCAACAGCTTTCGCACACTAGCTCTCTACACTGTTCACCTTTATCTCAGCTGTTTGCTCTGGCTCTGTGGCTCTTGGCACCCCCACACCTGCAGCTGCACAGCTGGCTCTCCCTTGCCTTCAGGGTCAGCAGCTTCACTCTTTCTCTCTCTGGGCACCAGAGCAACTCATGCTGTGGCTCCCTTCTCTCCATCTACAAGAAAGACAGCTCTGGTTCTCTCTCTCTCCTTCTCTGGGTGCCACTGTGCCTGCCACGTTAAGTCATGTTGAGCTAAGCCAAGTCTCAAGAGCCCAGCCAAGTCTCAAGGGCCCCTGTACAATGTAAGCAGGGCATTTATACCTTTTATAGACAAAAGTGGCTCAGAGCAAAGTATGAACTTACACAAACAGGTTATATAACAAGGGGAGGTGTGCACCTGAGCACCAAACTCACTGAGTCATGCAAGCCTGGACATTTGCCTTGGCCTATTCCTTTACCAAAGCACATCCATGTACCTCAGGACAGCCACCGATTCCTTGACCCCCTAGGCTGACGGAGATAGCCTATTTCACCTATTTCCTGACCCCCTAGGCCAAGAAAGACATAGGCCTTGGACACACAGGTTTGATACACAGGTTTGGCACATAGGCCTGACACATAAACTTTGGGTACACAGGCCAGACACATACACATATGCTTAACACATAAGCCTGACACATAAGCTCTGGGCATGCAAGCCTGATACACAGGTTTGGGCATGCAGTCCCAATACATATACATAGGCTTTGATAAACTATCCAGCTATTGATGCAGATTACCCATAGGTGTCACCTCCTTAGTGATTTCCATTCACACTGTTCTGAGTTTAGCTTATTAGCTACTTTGCCCACACCTGGTTTTAAACCATATGGTGTCAGTACTAGGCTGTTGTCAATACTGCAGCAGCAATCCGGGCAGCAGCAGAACTCTGGATCTGTATACCATGCTCCAGCACAAATAGGGGGATGCCTTTCCTTACAGTAAAAGCTCAGGGTCTGGTGGTGCCTCAGGCCCATGGCCTTATATTGCATTAGGACTACAGACCCTAAAGCCTCTTGTAACTCTGCTGCTAAGGGACTTGTGCTCAGTGTACTTTACTGCTCTAAGTAGGCGCCCCACTTCACTGAAGTGCATGTCTGTACCATCCCAGTTTGAGGAGTTATTACCCATAAACACACCCACCCTGCTGTCAGGTAAGTCATCTACACTACAACTGTAGCCCATCCTGCCACACTCTGATGAGCCTGAAAGGCAGCGCATACAATTGCTAACTGCTTTCCCAGTCTGAGGGAGTAGTTTCATGGACACATTGAATAAGAAGCTATTACTAACTGCTTCTTTATTAAGGAATACCAGAGCTCAGTTGCCTTCCATAGTTGGGACTAAAAGCCCACTGGAGCTTCCAAGTGCTGCATGCACTGCTATAGGCCATAGCCAGAACTATCTGTGGTTACATGTACATCTAGTGTAAATGGATACCCTTGGTTAGAAAGGCTATGTCAGCCTTATCATCCCAATCTCAGGCAAGAGGGGTGTTGCCGCTTCTAAACCCGCAAGAGAATTAGAAGTTAATATAACAGGTCAGGTGCGGTAGCTCACGCCTGTAATCCCAGCACTTTGGAAGACTGAGGATCACCTGAGGTCAGGAGTTCGAGACCAGCCTAACCAACATGGAGAAACCCCATCTCTACTAAAAATACAAAATTAGCTAGGTATGGTGGTGTGTGCCTGTAATCCCAGCTACTCAGAGGCCGAGGCAGGAGAATCCCTTGAACCCAGAAGGCAGAGGTTGCAGTGGGCTGAAATCATGCCATTGCACTCCAGCCTGGCCAACTAGAGAGAAACTCAGTCTCAAAAAAAAAAAAAAAAAAAAAAGAAGTTAACATAATATCATTAGCAAGATTATGACATATGATGGGGCTATGCATATAGCCCTGCAGCAACGCCATGAAAGTCTATTTTCTCCCTCCCAAGAAGGCAAACTGTTCCAGGCTCTCAGTGGATTGTCTCGGTTCCATTGTCAAATGCCCCATTAAGTCTGGGACAGACAGAACACCTGCCAAGCCATGCAAAACATCCACCACCAGAATGTCCTCAGGTATGGGAGAGATATTCAAGTGCCTAAGTAAAGAACCAAGTGGCTGATGTCAGGATGCAGAGACACAGGTTTCACTTTCACTGACCAGTTTTTATAGCCATTAATAAATGCAGCTCTGCCTGAAAACTTATCCAGGTTCAGGAACCAGTAGATCACCAAGTCCACATGTGGCTCTGGTTGCCCAGTGCCTTGCACAAGCCAGGTATCGTGGCCAGTTCTCTTCTCAAACAGGAAAGGCTTTATACTTGCACCAACTGCAACAGGTACTTTTTGAACTGGAACTCTTGGGCAGGACTGGGTTGCTCAGCAATGTCCTTCTCTCAAATGACCTGCAATAAGTTTGTACATGACTGCCAACATTACTTACTTAACTCCCGCAACTCAGCGGGGGCACAGGCACCATAGGAAGTGTGCTCCACCCTTGGGGCCCACCAGCTGCTCATGCTCTATTTTCTGGGCAATCACTGGCTGAGCCTGCAATGGAGGTTCTTCCTCTTCCCTGTGCTGCATCCAACAGGGACTGGGTATGCACTTCCTGCAGCACAGTCACAAACGCCCATCTGACTCTCCCTTCAAAGGCATACCTCTTGGTGCTGTGCAATTCCAGATGCTTCAGCTCCCTCTCCACACTCATGGGAGACCTGTCCACTGCGTCCCACATTTCCATTGGGGCCCATCCAAGCAGCACCACTGCCACCGGTTACCACAGCTCATGCTGCAGACACATGGCTGACCCGGAAGCCCTCAGAGACTGAAGATCCACTCATTCCATCCTCATTGCCAAGTGTCAGATCCTGGGGTTGAGGTTCAGCCCATGCTGAAGTCAGAGGGGAGAGGGTGGATGAGCTGAAAGAACATCAGGGGGCTGTAGGCAGGTAAAAGATGATTTTATTCAGCGGCAGCTCTCATCAACAGTTTTCTCACACTAGCTCTTCACACTGTTCGCCTTTATCTCGGCTGTTTGCTCCAGCTTTGTGGCACCTGCTGCCCTGATACCTGCAGCTGCAAGGCCAGCTCTCCCTTGCCTTCAGGGTCAGCAGCTTCACTCTTTCTCTCTCTGGGCACCAGCACGAGCCATGCTGTGGCTCACCTCTGTCTGTGACAGACAGCTCTGGTTCTCTCTCCCTCTTTCTCTGGGTGCCAGCGTACCCGCCATGATAAGCCATGTTGAGCTGAGCCGAGCCCATGAGCCCCTGTATAGCATTAGCAGGCAATTATACCTTTTACATACAACAGTGGCTCAGAGCCAAGTATGGACTTACACAAACAGGTTATATAACAAGTGGAGGTGTGCGCCTGTGTGCCAAACTCACTGAATCATAGAGTCCTGGATATCCACCTCGGCCTATTCCTTGACCAAAGCACATCCATGTACCTTACACTTTGGATCTGAGAAAACTGACCAAAATTATGAACATCAAGTCATATTCTAAGCAATAATTATTATATTCTTAAAATGAGTTGGATAATCCCTATGATATCCAGACAGGAAGTTAAAATCACTTACAAGGAAACAACCACCAGATTGATATAAGAATTCTCAATAGCAACATTTATGTTAGAGAAAGAATGTAGCAACTTTTAAAAAACAATTTAATGGGAAAAAAAATGTGAGATGAGAATGTTATGTCCAGGCAAAGTCTTCTTCAAAATAAAAGCCACAGACAAACAGCTATAAAAATGCAAGATGTCAAGGGATGTCATTCCCAGAATCACTTCCTGACAAATCTACCAAAAAAATCAAATCTACCAAATACACATTTGCTAAAGGTTTAGAAAATATTTGGAACTAAGGTTAAAAGACGAAAAAGTAATATATTTTTAAAATATATTTAAACATGAACACTAACAAAAATAATAGGTAGAAATAATAGTGAAATAAAATTTTCCCACATGCATTAACTGGAGGTAAAATATTACTTGAAGCTAACAAATAAAGTAGTATATGCTTAAGTATATCTAAGCCTAAAATATATCTAACAGCTAACAATATATTGTAAATTAAATAAATTATGAATGACATAATTTATTCCAAATAGAGTTTTTAAAAAAGATTTTTGCTTGGGTGCTACAATATTAGAAAAGTTGACTTTAATACAAAAATTGTTACTAGCGATAAAGGAAATTGTGTAATGCTATAATCAATAAATTCAATTGTGTGGATAAATGTGGAATTCAGTATCTTGGATAATAAAGTTAGATGATTTTTTTGAGATGGAGTCTTGCTCTGTCACCAGGCTGGAGTGCAGTGGCACGACCTCGGCTCACTGCAACCTCAGCTTTCCAGGTTCAAGTAATTCTCCTGCCTCAGCCTCCTGAGTAGCTGAGACTATAGGTGCATGCTGTCATGTCCAGCTAATTATTGTATTTTTTGTAGAGACAGAGTTTCACCATGTTGGCCAGGATGGCCTTGATCTCTTGATCTTGTGATATGCCCATCTCAGCTTCCCAATGTGCTGGGATTACAGGCGTGCACCACCGTGCCCAGCCATTAGATGATAATTTTAGGTGTTGATAATGGGATTGAAAAATATATCCAAAAAAGATAAATAATATAAAAAACACTTTATCATAAAGCAGTAGGACTTAAAATTAATAACAAATTAAAAAACAAAAAGTCTCTTCCACCTAGAAATTCTTTTTTCCAAAGAAAAGAGAAATTAAAATTATAATTGCTAGGAAAATACTATGTACTTTAATCCTTGAGAAACCATTTGAACAATCCTCAATATAAAATTTATAAACTCAAATATTTATAACATTAAACATGAAAAATTATATTGTTCACATCCTCACTATTATTGCTTACTTTTTGATTGTTGTATCCTGGGCTAAGAGAGATTTATTTAAATTTCCCGTTGTTAATGTATTTCTATTTCTTCTGCATTTTTTGTAATTTCTGCTATAATAAAATTTACACTGTTATTTAAACTTGTTATCATTTTGAATTTTATTCTTCATAAAGTAGAGGTCTTTCTTTTAGTCAATGCATTTTAGCTTGAATTAATGTTAAGTTTGAGGACTCTGCTTTTTTTTAATGAATTTCCTGTTATACATTTCCCAACTTCTTCTGTTTAATGTTTCTGTATCATTTGTTTCAAGCATATCTCTAGTATATCATATGGAATGGTTTTACTGTAATCTAACCTAAAAATCTCTTTTTGTGATAAGAGTAATAAGCCTACTTGTTTTATGATAAGAATAATAGCCCTATGTATTAGTATGTGAGCCCTGTTTAAGTCTCAACTCTGTCATATAATTGATAGTGTTTACTAATTAAGTTGGTCAGCTTTATAAAATTTGTTTCTGGTCTTTTCCCTTCCTCTTCTCCTTCAACACCTAAATTCTTTCAATATTACTAGTCTTCTTAGCGTTTACCTTTGTACTAAAATATGGTTAAGTATTTACTCCTTAACAATGTCTTGATTGCTCACTTTAAATAATATCTTTTGACTTCCTGCTACTGTTTAGGAAGACATTTATGACCTCATTCCATGTTTCCACCCTCCCTCATTTTCCCCTAAATTTCTGTTAGCTCAATTATTTCTATATCATCGAAGCATACAATATATACAGATTCAAGATGATTCAACTTAGCAATTTTTTTACTTTATGATGGTGTGAAATCTTCATAATTTTGACATGTCAAAATTTGAATTCTGATATTTTCCTAGGCCTGCAATATGTGACATGATACTCTCTTGCAATAGTGGGCAGCAGCAGCAGCAAGCCACAATTCCCAGTCATCCACTCCATCACCAGGGTAAGCAACTGATACTCTACAATGCACTGTGTTGCCAGCATATTTTTGATATTGTGTTTTGTGTTTTTGGATTCCATCGTGTCTACAAAACACCCATCTGTCTTACTGTGTTTAGTGTTGCTATAAAGGAATACCTGAGGCTGGGTAACTTATAACGAAGAGAGGTTTGTCTGGCTCACAGTTCTGCAGACTGTACAATAAGCATGGCACTGGCATCTGCTTCTGGTGAGGGCCTCAGTCTGCTTCCTCTCATGGGAGAAGGAGAAGGGGAGCTGGCAGGTGCAGAAATCACATGACAAGAGAGGAAGCAGGAGGTGGGGAGGTGCCAGGCTCTTATTAAAAAACAGCTCTCATGGAAAGTTAATAGCATGAGAATTCACTCACTCCCCACAAGAGAAGGTATAAATCTATTTAGGAGGGGTTTGCCCCTATGACCCAAACATCTCCCATTAAGCATGTGCGTTATTCTATTCTATGTGCAAATGTTTACAGCAAGTCCTGGGTAGTTCTGACACTTTAAAAGGCATCATGACTTTTGTAATGTGAAGGTCAGTGGTGAAGCAGCAAGTGCCAATACTGAAGCTTTTATGGAAAAGCTGCTTAGGATAATGTGGAGGAGAAATATTTGCCAGAGTAAATACTTAATGTTGATTAAACAGCTTTTTCTGGAAGTGTATCCCAGAGCCTAATTTTCGCAAATATCATGCCATTTTGGTGACTATGGCCTTATAGTATAGTTTGAAATCAGGTAATGCAATGCCTCTAGGTTTGTTTAGTTTTGCTTTGGCTATATGGGCTCCTTTTTGGTTCCATATGAATTTCAGGATTTTTTTTCTAGTTCTGTGGAAAATGATGATGATATTTGTTGTTGTTGTTGTTGGACAGAGTTTTGCCCTCTCACCTAGGCTGCAGTGCAGTGGCACCATCTCAGCTCATTGCAACCTCCACCTCCTAGGTTCAAGTGATTCTCCTGCTTAAGTCTTCCAAGTAGCTGGGATTAAGGGAGCCCACCATCATGCCTCGCTAAATTTTGTGTCTTTAGTAGAGGTGGGTTTTGCCATGTTGGCAGGCTGCTCTTGAACTCCTGACCTCAAGACTGAGATCTGCCCATCTCAGTCTCCCAAAGTGCTGGGATTACAGGCCTGAGTCACTGCATCTGGCTGATGGTTGGTATTTTGATGGGAATTGCATTGTATTTGATGGTACATTGCTTTTGGCAGTATGGTCATTTTTGCAATATTGATTCTACCCATCCATGAGCATGGTATGTGTTTCTATTTGTTTATGTCATCTATGGTTTCTTTCAGCAGTGTTTTGTAGTCTTCCTTGCAGAGGCCTTTCACATCCTTGGGTAGGTATATTCCTAAGTGTCCTTTTTTGTTTGGTTTGGTTTTTTTTTGCGGCTATTGAGAAAGGGGTTGATTTCTTGATTTTATTCCCAGCTTGGACTGATTTTTGCACATTAATTTTGTACCTGAAACTTTTCTGAATTCACTTACCAGTTACAGGAGGCTTTTTGGGTGAGTCTTTAGGGTTTTCTAGGATGCAATCATATCATTACCAAACAGAAAGTTTGACTTCCTCTTTACCAATTTGGATGCCATTTATTTCTTTCTCTTGTTGATTCCTACGGTTAGGACGTCCAGTACTATGTTGAATATAAGTGGTGAAAGTGGGCATCTTTGTCTTGTTTCAGTTCTCAGAGGGTGTACTTTCAACATCCCCCCATTCAGTATAATGTTGGTTGTGGGACTGCCAAAATGGCTTTCATTACCTTAATGTATGTCCCTTTTATGCTGATTTTTTAATTTTGCTGAGGGTTTTAATTATAAAGGGGTGCTGTATTTTGTCAAATGCTATTCTTGCATCTATTTAGATGATTATGTTATTTTTGTTTTTAATTCTGTGTATGTGGTGTATCACATTCTTGACTAACATTAAACCATCCCTGCACTTGATCATGGTGTATTACCTTTTTGATATGGTGTTGGATTCAGTTTACTAGTATTTTGTTGAGGATTTTTGCATCTATGTTCATCAGGGATATTGATCTGCAGTTTCTTTTTCTTATGTCCTTCCCTGG